GGGTAAGATCTGCTTAGGCTGAAGAGCCTAAAAGAAATAGCCTCTGTTCTGTGTATTCTAGAAGTGAATCTGGGTATTTTGCCCCTCCCAGGGAAGCTGAGACTGTTTTACAGCTATTATCTCATCTGTAGCCCTAGGCGGGATTGGAACTGGTATAAATAATTCTTTCTAGTTTCAGCTCCCGAGACTTGCCCGAGGCTTCTGGCTCTGTGGTCCACACCTGGCTTCTGTAGACAGCAACAACAGTAACTACAGCAGTTGACATTTGTATAATACTTGCTATGTGTCAAGTACTCTTCCAAGTGCAAAGCCCTGCAACATTTCTATGGAGTGGAAATATTATCCCATTTTAGAGATGAGAACACTGAGTCACAGAACATAAGTAAATCCCCAAGGCCACCACCTAGTAAGTGAAGGAAACTGGCTCCTGCTCAGGGCTTTTATTAATCCAGATGAGACCCAGAAGCTGCCTTCTGGTTCTTACCTCTCCTGGGGAGAATTTTGTCCCAGTGCTTGCCCCTGACCACAGGAGTTGAATGAACTCATTGCTGACCCCCACCCAGGTGGCACTGAAAGAGGCCAGCAATAATGGCCTCAGTGCCTCTGCCAGATATGTGAGCTTGTTCCATACCCAGATATGTTCCATACCCTGCTCTCTCTAAATTTTACCTTTGGGCCTTTGTTTTTACAAAACAGCAGTAACTCCCAGGTGGTTTAATATCGGAGATCATCACCCCACCTTGCTGCCTGCTGAGGATCTCATGGCCCAGTCCTAACAAACCACAGAAAACTTGCATGCTTGTCTTCAATGGAAAGAAGAGAAGGCTTCCTGGTGGGTCCTAACTGATGGAGCCAACCAGAAAGCCAGCCACTGGACAGGGGTATAAAGCAAGGAAAGGCAGTCCTCTCCCAATCCCCCACCCATACTCTCCCACCTGCCATGTCAGGAAGTGTTGGGTGAACCTCTTCATAGTCAGGTGTTAGTCATGCTTCCTCACTCCTAATAGGATGTCCTATATTAGGGACATCCTAATATGGGATCCCTTGGAGGCAGCAATGTCTCACCCAAAGGAATGACTCTGGTAACATAATGATAATCAAATGATGATAATCAAATTAGGCTTTTTTTTTTCTTTCTGCTGTAGGAAAAAAAACTTTTTCTTTTTTTTTTCTGCAATGGAGTTTCACTCATGTCACCCAGGCTGGAGTGCAATCGTGCGATCTCTCCTCACTGCAACCTCTGCCTCCTAGGTTGAAACGATTCTCCTGAGTAGCTGTGATTACAAGCACCTGCCACTGCACCCGGCTAATTTTTGTATTTTTAGTAGAGATGGGGTTTCACCATGTTGGTCAGACTGGTTTTGAACTCCTGACCTCAGGTGATCCACCCACCCCAGCGTCTCAAAGTGCTGGGATTACAGGTGTCAGTCATTGTGCCTGGTTGGAAAAAAAAAAATTCTGTTCCTCTTCACTGATCTCCTAGCTTCCCAGTTAGCCAAGGCTTTGTGTTTAGTGGTCAGTCTTAGCTCATTTTGTCTTGGGGGTAGTGGTGGCAGCAGTTAGCTAATGGTTTCTCTATAATTCAAGGGTCAAGCCCAGGAAGAAATTACATGGCGGTGCCCCAGAGGTTGAGGTGGGGATTGGGTAGAGAGAAGCTAGGGCTTTGTGGATGAGAGAGAGAATGGATTCTATAAGTCTGGGAGGACATTAAGGAGAGGTATCCTCAAATAATGGAGACTTGTGCCTTTTCTATAAAGGGCTCTGGAGGTTGCAGGTGCCTAGGGGAGCATTTGGTGCCTGGTAGTCAGAATGTCTTTGTAGGAGAGGTTTATGGGCAGCAATCTGGTTGAAAGGCCGGGAGGGGTGGAGGATGCTCTAAGCTGTTTACATGGCTACATACATGAAAATGAGAAAATATTAACTACATATAACAAAGAACAGGGGTTGCTGACCTAGATTATGGGGAGAAGATCTAAAGTTTCCTCAACACTCCTTCTACCACCACCAGCACCCAAACTTGGCACGTAACTAATACCTCAAGGACAATCTCTAACGATATGACCTTGAAAACATTGACAAGGGTCCCTTTGGCAGAGCCTGTAGGTAAAGTAGGCACTTTGAGGGGAAACCTTTTAGTCCAACAGCTGTGTCACATAACAAAAGAAGCAATATTAATAATGGTGGCTATTGTATTGGCTAACTGAATCCCCTGCCCATTTTTCTATTACCAAGCAGGCCCCTGGATTCTAGTATGACCCAACAGAAAAGAGAGGATTTCAATAATCATTAAAATTGGGGATTGTACGAGCCAGGGCACGGTAGGGCTCAGAGCATGATTCCGCTTGATTTGAAAGGTAAAGAGATGTGCATTTCCTTGCTCCTTGGCGAAGTGGAGCAAATTTGTACCTGTTATTTAGGCATCAGTGGGAGAGTGGTGGAGGGGGGAAGGAGATAGACTGCTCCTCAAATCACCAGGCAGCAGGAGAAGCTGCCAGGCCCTGCCCCCCTGCATTTGCCTTTAGTTGGCAAAAGACAAATTAGCCCAGCACCTCCTGAGCCGAGTTGCAGTGCAGAGTCTGCAAGAATGTTTGCTTGGGGAGCGGCACTGTTCTTTATCTCAGCAGGTGTAATTCCATCACATGATTGTCTTGGATCTGCTTTCCCCACTCCAGCCTGAGCTTGCCAATTCAGAAAACTATAGCTGAGAAATAAATAGTTCTTCTCTGTGTCAGCCCAGGAAACACTAGGGGTCCCTTTATATGGAATAGAATGAGCAGTTCCTTACTGCTGGAGTTAGAGAAGGCCTCTCTCACTGTCCTTGAGGGCTTCAAGCCAGAACTTCCTCTTTGCAGGAAACTCACTGGCTTCCATGGGAAGCCAAGCTGGGCCTGCAGCCTGCCTTGCCCATGCCCAAGCTTTACAGGTCACCAACACACCAGTCAAAGAAGACTAGGGCCTTCACAGGGACACAGACACAGGGCTAAGTACTATCCTGCCTTGGAAACTTTGGGTACAACCTTGGCATCTCTAGCCCAGAGAGTTATTTCTATTGCAGTTTAAGGTTACTACCTTGGGCAGGTAACTTTCACCTTCTGGAAACTGCTGACAAGAAAGCTAAATAGGAGGGGCCTCCCCAGCCCAAGCCTGGAAAGTTCAACCATTCAGCCCAGGAGCCAAGATAAGGTGAGCCTTGTTAGTGTCGGCAGCCTGGGCCCACTCATACCTAAAAGACTCGTAGGGTCCTGTGAAGCCAGGTCAGGGTCTGACCTTCCTCTTTCAGGCTACAGATGTTCCCTCTGCATGTCTGTTGCAGGACTGAGCTGGCTTGGGAGACTCTGGGGTTTCTGCACAGCCCTGACAGGGACCAAGAGAATAGAGACTGTCATTGAGTTATAGGGACTCCTTTTTTATTTTTAGTAGAGACAAGGTCTTGCTATGTTACCCAGGCTGTTCTCAAATTCCTGAGCGCAGTCCTCCCACCTCGCCCTTCCAAGTGCTGGGATTACAGATGTGAACCACCGCCCTCAGCTGGAGTACTTACTTGAAGTTCAGATTTCTGGGCTCCTTCCAGAATGAAACACAATACAAAACCATAACACTTAATGATTTTTTTTTTTTTTTTTTGAGATGGAGTCTCACTCTGCCACCCAGGCTAGAGTGTAGTGCCACAATCTCAGCTCACTGCAACCTCCACCTCCTGGGTTCAGGCAAGTCTTCTACCTCAGCCTCCCAAAGTAGCTGAGATTACAGGCGCCTGCCACCATGCCCAGCTATTTTTTTTTTTTTCTGTATTTTTAGTAGAGATGGGGTTTCACCATGTTGGTCAGGCTGTTTTTGAACTCCTGACCTCAAATGATCCACCCACCTCAGCCTTTAAAAGTACTGGAATTACAGGTGTGAGCCACTATACCCGGCCACCTAATGATATGTTTCTTATGAACCTACTTCATGGTTATATAAGCGAGACGACAGACAAGGAAATCTCTGTACTGTTGTCTTCAGAGCTTGTTAAGACACACAGTAGCCACTCCAGTGCCTTAGCCATCTCTGACAGGTGCTAGATTGTCCCCATTTCCTCCTCATGATCTGCTCTCCACCCTTCTTTACCCTGCTCTCTGCCCATGAGGCTGGGTAACAAGGATGACATCAGTAGGCTGCCCTTGCCCTCCAGCCTCTAGGGGTTGGCCAATGAGGTCGGCATATTTATTTCTCTGGCTCCTTCCTGCCAGATGTCCCTCTCTATTAGCTTTTCGAATTCCCTTAATGGGTTCCACCCCCTTGTCCTTACAGACATGGTAGTGGCTCCTGCACTTACCAGCCCGAGGGTAGTGCACCTCCCTTTTGCATGGTCTAAGCCCAGTCCATGCTTTGTAAATAGTAACTTTATTACACTCTTTCTAAATGACTCAATTTAAGGCCATCCTTTTTATTTTTCTTGGCTGGGACCCTAATGGATGAAACCTTTAGAACATTTTGCCCTTATGGGGAAATTTTACTTGATTTTGCCCTCTCTGAACTTTCTGCACATAAAATTTTATTTTCTCTTTTTATTTTTCTTTAAGACAGAGTCTTGCTCTATTACACAGGTGGGAATGTAGTGGTGAACTCCTGTACTTAAGCAATCCTCCTGCCTCAGTCTCCCAAATAGCTGGGACTATGGGTGTGCACCAGCACACCCAGCTAATTTTAAAATATTTTTATAGAGACGGGGTCTTGATATGTTGACTGGGCTGGCCTCAAGCGCCATCCCACCTTGGCCTCCCAAAGTGCTGGGATCATGGGCATGAGCCACTAGGCTTGGGCTTATTTTCTCTTAGTATTGCTAAAGTAGTTTTTTAAATTTAAAATATATACAATAATTTTTTGTTAAAAAGCAAGATCCTTATTATAATTGCTTTCAATAGATAATTTTGGATAGTGTATTAGTTCGTTCCCTATTGATTATAACAGAATATATGGCACTGGGTCATTTATAAAGAAAAGTACTTCATGTCTTACAGTTATGAAGGCTGAGAAGTCCAGGATTGAGGGGCCGCATTGGTGAGGGGATTCTTGCTGGTGAGGACTCTCTGCAGAGACCTAAGGCTGCATCAGCAATCGCATGGTGAGGGGCTGAGTGAGCTCACATGCTTGGTTAGGTCTCTCTTCCTCTTCTTAAAAAACTACCAGTTCCACTCACAAGATTATCTACTAGTCTATTAGTCCATTAATCCATTAACCTATAAATGGATTAATCATTCATAAGGGTTAAAGCATCTTGATCCAATCATCTCTCAAAGTCCCCACCTTTCAATACTGTCACATTTGGAGATAAGTTTCTAACACATGAAATTTTGGGGACACATTCAAACCATAGCAGATGATAAATAAGAAAAAAAAGTCTTGTAAATTTTGCATTTCAAACCAGCACTGACAGGTGTTTCCGATGCATGCTATGGCTTAGGAAGCACTGCACAAGTCAGCTCTTCAAGCTTTTCACAGGCAGCTGTCCTGAGACATCAGCATCCCCTTCCCTCCATTAGAGCCTACACCAATGAGTTACATAAAGCGATTTTATGTAAAAACAGCCTGATATCTCTAATTTGGAAAGTCCGTCCTTAATACCTGGTTTTGAAGTCCAGGAAAGCTGTGTATGTTATTTAACTTAAAAACTGAAATATGGGCTGAGCACAGTGGCTTATACCTGTAATCTCAGCACTGTGGGTAGATTACCTGCAGTCAAGAGTTCAAGACCAGCCTGGCCAGTATGGCAAAACCCCACCTCTACTAAAAATATAAAAATTAGCCAGGCGTGGTGGCACACGCCTGTAATCCCAGCTACTCAGGAGGCTGAGGCAAGAGAATCTTTTGAATCTGAGAGGTGGAGGTTGCAATTAGCAAAGATCACGCCACTGCATCTAGCTTGGGTGACAGAGCAAGACTCCGTCTCAAAACAAAGAAAAAAAATTGAATATGTATATCTATAAATTTAAATCATATATATAACTTGAAAGTTATTTACACTCAAGTCTTTTCCTAAAATATACATTCTTCCATATTCCCTATTTTTAAAATTATCTCTTTGTCTCTCAAGCTCAACAACAACTTTTCTGCAAAGCTCTTGATCCTTCCACATCTGGCATGAAAATATTCCAAGTTATCTGTGTTGGCAGATGGAGCTGTGCTGAACGGAAGCTTTATCCTGGATTCGGTCTTCTGTCCCAGCACGAGCACCTGACTCAACTTTGGAAGTGTGGAGAAGGTTATGGAACTTCATCCTGCCCTAGTTCACCTCCCCCCACTTCCAGTCCTACCCTCTTATACTTCTTCTTGGTCCAAATGGATTATCCCCTAATTTTTCCCCTTAAAGATATCAATAGAACATTGATTATCCATACTGTATGCTCATTATTGTCCTGAGTTGCTCCTTAGAAGCTGTTGCTGAGTACTGCTAAGTATTAAGCCAGGTTCCTGTGGTCTGCTCCTGCACCCTAGAAAGGCCTTACATGAATTAGGCTGGGATGAGTTCCAGCACATGGGAACTATAGGAAAATCTAGAACAGAGGTAAACTGTGACCTTAGGAATCATTTCTCCTTTACACTGATGTGTGACCTGTTCTCAGCAACTTCACACTGGCCACTTTTTTTTTTGAGACAGAGTCTTGCTCTGTCTCTCAGGAGTGCAGGGCACAATCTCAGCTCACTGCAACCTCCACCTCCCAGGTTCAAGCAATTCTCCTGCCTAAGCCTCCTGAGTAGCTGGAATTATGGGTGAGTACCACCATGCCTGGCTAATTTTTGTATTTTTAGTAGAGACAGGGTTTCACCATGTTGGCCAGGCTGGTCTCGAACTCCTGGCCTCAAGCAATCTATCTGCCTCTGCCTCCCAAAGTGCTGGGATTACATGCGTGAGCCACCATGCCCAGCCTATAATTTTGTATAAAACAGACCAAACTAAAATACAGACTTGCCCCAAAGATCTGAGGGGCCCAGGGAGTGAGTACAGATGGAAATCCACATACCACCTATATAAAAATTATAAATTTTACCAAAAAACTGATAAATAAAATATTTCAATTCCCCTATACTAACAAATATGCCTTCATAAACACAAAATATACATACAGATACAAATATACAGCTCTTGAAAAAGAGAAAGAAACGGGCTAATCTGGAAGGCCAGGTTCAAATATGGAATTCTTGAACTTCTCAGAGCTCCATGCTGGCACATGGTGGAATGGAGAAAGCTGGCCCCTGACCCACCCCCGACTTCTCTTCCTGGCCCAGGCTCTTGTCCCACAGGACAAGGCGCCTTGAGTACATTCACAGAGACATGACCAAGCTCCATCCACATTTCCACTCTCACCTCATCACACTCATTGCACACCTTTCATGCCTAGGAGTAAGTATAATAGTAGTATGCTCTGTCCTCAGGGAGGCGTACCTGCAGAAGAAGTGGCCCAGGCCCAGGAATTAGGCACTAGAAGGGAAATATGGGCCCTGCATGGGAACATCCCATTGGCCTTGTGGGTTCTTTCCTCTATGAGAGGTATAGCCAAAGTGGGCCAGAGTGAGTCCCTTTAAAGCATGGGACCCTCTAAAACATGGGACCATAGGCAGAGGGCATAGCCGGTGAAATAAGATAACTGAGATGGCAGATACAACCAACAGTAGGAAAATCACTAAAGAGATCATGAACGCTCCAGGTAAAATGTTGGTCCAGGAGAGGAGAGGAGAGAGATACCTAGGAAGCAGAGGTGAGCAGACACGTAGAATACAGAAACCAGTGCTTCAGCAAATTCTACCTGGCTTCCTGGGAACCTCCCAAGTCCTGGGTTCAGCCCCTGCCCAGAGTACTCACACTCCTCTACTGGGCCCTATAGACCCCCTTAGAATGTAGACCCTTCTTTGCCTAAGCTAGTTGCAGTAGGTTACTGTTACTCGACAAAAATAAAGTCTTGACAAGACACTACTTCATGTGGCAAAAAAAACTGAAGTTTTCCCAGAGAGAGAGAGATGGCAGAGAAAGAAAAGGGCCTAGAGACAGGTTTGAGAAAGACATAAATTTAAGACGCAGAAAAAGAGAAAAAAAGAACCCAAGAAAGAGTCATCAGAGGAGTAGGGGAGGAACTCGCTCACCTGGGTGAGCATTTCAGAAAGACGAGCTGGTCAGCTGAATGATGAGGCCTGCATAAAGATCACTGGAATTGATGACTAAAAGGTCACCGCTGACCGTCAAGAAAGCACAACTAGAGACGACTGTTGGCAGACGGATGTGCCCCGCTGTGCTGGGGAGATGGAGCAGCAGCTGTTCACACATGGCCCAGAGCTTTCTCCTGCCCTGTATGGCTGTGAGTATGACCCCTCTGCCTGTTTCACCATCTCCTTCTACTGAGCATGCTGGGGAACCCTGGCACCCTTGGGGCCAAGGCAGGTTTGAAGTGTGTTAAAGAACAGGGAGTGAAGTACCATGATCCTGGATGTGACTCCTTAAGGACAGAGTGTCTGGAAAAAACCAACCAACCAACTGAAGAACCACTGGGTTTTAGGGGATCCCTAGTCTTTACTTGAAACACTGGGAATAACCTCTTCCTCTTATTCTGCATTCCCTTAGGATAGTTAAGGAAAAGTCCCAGCCCGGGTAGGTAGCGACCTCCGCTGCTCTGCCTGCCTGCTAAGGTGAGCCAGCTTCCCATTTCCTCATCTTGTCTCAAGGGGTGTATGTATGTATGTATGTATGTATGTATTATGTATGTATGTGTGTGCAGGGGAGGATCCCCTACAGAGTCTTTCTTCCAAGTCCCAGCAATAGCCAAGGCAGGAGCATTGCTTGAAGCCAGGAGTTCAGGACCAGCCCAGACAACATAACAAGACCTCATCTCTACCTACCAAAAAAAAAAAAAAAAGGAGCTGGGCAAAGTGGTACACATTGTAGTCCCAGCTACTCGGTGGGAGAATCATGTTGAGGAGGTTGAGGCTGCAGTGAGCCACAATTGTGCTGCTGTACTCCAGCCTGGAATGAGACCCTGTCTCAAAAAAAAAAAAAAAAAAAAAAGTCTCAGCAATTTGAGTGTAACAACAAATAAGTAAAAATAACTTTTTATTTAAGGAAGTCCATCCATGGCTCCTTGTTAATACGGCTGACAACAGGAGAAGCTAGGCTGTGAAGCCTACAGAGCATTTGCAAGGGAGGCAGCCTGCCTGTAGCCAGAGAAAATGATCCATGGGACAGCCTGGGCCCATATTCTCCACTGTAATGGTTGCTCGGAGACAGCCATTAAGAGAGAATTTTGAAAGTATGAGGTATGACCCTCCCCATAGACCCGCCGCTCTGATTGGCTTGCTGTAAGCTCTCACCCCCACTCTACTTCCCCTCACCCTTCAACCACAGTTCCCAACCTGAGTGATCACCAGGCTGGGTGACCCCTCCACACCCCCTGCCAAGGATGAAAGGGAGGCCAGAGTCCAGTGGCTGGTCCTTCCTGCAGAGTTTATGAAAAGGGAACAGTGTCAGCAACGCCTCCCTTCCCCCGACTCGGCAGCGTGCAGCATCAGCACTTCCAGCCTCCCCGGCACAGTGAACTCCATGGAGAAATACAAAATAACTGCTCATTAGAAAAATGAGAGGGTCCTGACCTTTTCCCATTGATTTTCCCCCTTTTTTGATTTAAATATCTGCAGCCCCTGGGTGTTAGCATCCCTTGTCAACTTTCTCTGTGAAGCCATTTCCCGAGGGGACAGGATGTTTTTTAACCTACACATGAAGTTTACTTTTCTCCTCTAAGGACCTAAATAAAGGGAGTTTACTAAACAATATTTTCACATATTTCACTCGATCCTCTTAATTGCCTTGTGAAACAGGTATTATCTCCATTCCACAAGAGAAAAACAGATGTTCTGAAAGGTCCAGTGACTTGCTCAAGGCTGCTGAGTTTGTAAGTCTTGGACTGAGAATTTGACTTCTGCCTCCTGACTCTAAAGTCTATGCCAGGCTAACAAATCTCTGGGTGGGGGCTGGCAGGGCGGGAGTGTAGTATGGGAGAGAGAATCTCAAATCCTGGTCTCTCCCTCTTTTCATTGAGCCCAGACATTGGGAGTTAAAAAAAAAAACAAAGGCTGGGCACAGTGGCTCACACCTGTAATCCCAGCACTTTGGAGGCTGAGGCAGGCAGATCACTTGAGGTCAGGAGTTCGAGACCAGCCTAGCCAACATGGCAAAACCCTGTCTCTAATAAAAATACAAAATATAGCCAGTGATGGTGGTGAGCCCCTGTAGTCCCAGCTACTCGGGAGGCTGAGGTGGGAGGATTGCTTGAACCTGGGAGGTAGAGGTTGTAGTGAGCAGAGATCGTGCCACTGCACTCCAGCCTAGGAGACAGAGCAAGACTCTATCTCAAAAAAGAAAAAAAAGAAAAATATTTCAAAGAGAAAGAGCAAAGAAAATATACTAACCCTTAGAGCAATGGCTATAAACTTTTACAAATGTGACCCATTTGTAAAAGTACATTTTATATCTTGACCTGGTATATCACACATACACAAACACACACACACACACACACACACACACACACACACACGGCCAAAGGTTTTAGCAAGAGTAATATACTCTGATATATTTTGTTCTACTTCATTGAATTCTTTTTCCCCCTTTTAATGATTGTTTGACCCACAAAATTGATTTCATTACCCACAATTGAAAAATGCTGCCTTAAAGCATAAACTACGCGTTCAGAGACAAGCTCTCATACTTCTCTTGTATAAAGTACCAAATTGTACAGAGCCCCAACACACAGTCCATGTTCAGGAAATACTTGTTGAGCCTCTGGGCTTTTAAGGAACCAGTAATCCACAACTTAAACAACTTGTTCTGGAAACACTCCAGTTTGGTTTATGTGGAAAAGATCATTCTAATTCCAAATCCCAACAAACAAATCATACACACACACACACACACACACACACACACGCACACACACACACAAGAAAAACCTGGAAATGGATTTCTGTTGTGACTCTAGACTTGAAATTTTAAAATAAAATATTAGCAAATAGATTTCTTTCAGCAGGCATGAGTTAAGTGTCTGCCCTGTGCTGTGCCCTGTCCTAGCGGCTAGAGATACAGAACAAATGAGATCCAGTCCCTGTCCTCAAGGAGCTGGGGAGCGGTGGGATTGGGATGGCACAGGCTACCAGGGAGTAGGAGGAAGTTATCTACCCAGCCTAGAGGGCATAAAGATGGTTTCCTTGCAGCTACTCAGAGCCTAGACTTGAAAGAACGTAAGTTAGATGGGAAAATAAATGGAGGTTCGCTTGAACCTGAGAAGGACAAAGGTTTCAGGCAAAAGGAATAGCATGTGCAATGCTGTGGAAGTCACAGTTGTCTATCCCATAACCA